TCAGCCATCAATATAGTCAAGCTCACTAAGTATGTTATGCTTTATTTTCCTTTGTCCCTCTTGCCTTCAATCTTGTGAGTATTAGATTTTCCAAGCCCTCTTTCCTCATTATGTGCCCTAGACATTTCAGCTGTCTCTTCCTGATGTTAAGTGTCTTTTTTGTTTCCATTGTCTCTAAAACTTCATTGTTGCTCACATATTCGGTCCATGTTATCCTCAGGATCCTTCTGTATGACCCCATTTCTGTTGCTAAGAGTCTCTTCTTCATCTTTGAGGAGATTGTCCAGCATTCACTGCCATACAAGAAGACAGATACCACGTAACAGTTTAGTACTTATTTCTTTGTTTCTAACAAAATTTTTCTGCTTAGCTTTTGGAAGGCATTTTTGCGCTATTTCAATATGCCTTCAGATTTTGGTGTCGTACTTTCCGTCCTCTGTTAATAAAACTCCCTAAATATTTAAATTTTTGTTTTTGTTTGATTTTGGTATCTCCAATTTGTAATTTACAAGTTGGGATCGCCCTTTTTCTAACAACCATGCATTATCACTCAGTTTATGCTTAGTCCTTTCTTTTCGCTTTCCTTCACTAACGTCTGTAAGAATTTTTTTAAGTTTTCTTTCCGTGTCTTCAATAGGTAGTGTGCCTTATCCTGTCAACGCCTATATACACAAAGTAGGTAGCCATTTACATATTTGAGGTATGATTCTGCACCTGCTAGCTATGAGGATATCTTCCAGATCAATCCTCTGATGCATCTGAATGCTCTGGCGATCTTGTGCAACGTACGTTTTGGTATTTTTAAGGTAAGCCCAGTACATACTGAGATCTCCACAGATTAACTTCCCTTAGAATAAATGTTCCTTATTCGATATATGGTATTTCTTACATGAATCGCATTCTAAATTAATATTGGCTACAAATATAGAGACACTTTTACATAATTATGTAAGCGTTTAGTTGGTATATGTTTCATTTTACCCCAAGGAAGGCGATAAAGCCATTAATATGCAGTGGGTTACTGAGAGTGAATGGAATAAGAAAATGTTAGTGAGAGTCAAGGACAATAAAAGAATAGATTGTTAAAAAAAAACAAAAAGAGAGATGATGGCGATTGACGTTGCATTTGAATTTTTGAAGATTGTAGTTGACAGGAGGTTTACGACTATATCACGTTGAATACCGCTTCACGTTCGATCACTAAAGGGATATTTAATGTTAGAGGAGCTTGTAAAAGAAAAGAAAAGCAAGGACGTTGATTATTTACACGATTTACAATGATAGGACTGTTGTCCTCATCTTTGTCATATTCATGATATGTTTCGGCCGTTTTACTCTCCAGCATTCTTCAGGTTCTGTCTATATTTCTGAGATGAGGTAATGTAATTATTTACACTATTTACATTGTTCGGACTGTTGCCCTCATTTTTGTCGCCATATTTATTACAACGTTTCGGCCGTTGTGCGCTCCGGCCTTCTTCAGGTGATTGGAATTTCGAACTGAACCCTTTATTTCGTTCACCGGGGTAGATTGTTCTAGTTCCACGTGCTGTGCCTCTTGCTGATCTATCAATTATCTCCCTTTAACTCAGCTCTCCAAGTTTTTTGTTCGCCACTGCCGTAGACAGGTATTGAACTCACAATTCTTTGGGTGAAGTCAGTGGATCCAACCAACGCGTTTACCCATTGGGTCATGTGTCCTCAAGAGATTGAGAGAAAATAGACAAAAAGAGAGAAACTTTTTTTTTTAATTTTTGTTTGGGTCAATTCTCATTGGTCAGTCATGTACAATGTGCATTAAAACACAAGATAATAATGTAAATACAAATATCTTTGGAAAACTAAATGTTTAATGGAGGCATGAAAAAGTTCTTTGTAAATATTAAATTAGTCATTAATTACATCTAAACAATAACAATAATAATAAACAACTTTTATGTTTATAATTTCCCTTCCCCTCTGTATAATTCCATCAATAAGAACATTATTTTAGTCTGATGAAGTCCTTTAAAAAGACGAAACGCGTTAAACAGAATTATTTTCTATTTTGTCATTGAATTATCCAATATATTTACTTTGCTTCTTTAATATTGATATAATTGTTGAAACTTGACTAATGCATGGAATAATAATGCAACACAAAAGGTACTTAGAACAAAATGTATTGAAACAAGAAAGTGTACACAATATTTACATATAGACTTTTGTATATTCCTGGTAAGACCGTTCCTGGAGAATGTGTTGACTGAGTCGCAGTCGGGCAGAGTCTCTGGTTGAATCTCTTGATTCCCACCTCTCTTCCCGGTACCAACCATATTTATATGGTCGGTACTCCTCTATGCAAATTAGGTGGATCCTACCACAACAATAATAATATAACATAATAAATCAATTAAAATATTCATTAAAAATATTAACTAAAATATTTTAAATTAATTAATAATAAAAATTACAACTTAATTAATAATATAACATAATAACTTCTACATAAATCATAAGGATTAATTTAATTTCGAAGAAAAAAATTACAACTGGAAGAAAAATCTACAGCTGAAAAAGGGAAAGACGTAAACAAAAGCACTGAAAGCAGACACGGAAAAGCAATTAGAAAATCCTCCCACAGAAGGTAAGCGAAGGAGAGCTAGAAGAAGGGACTAAGTATAAACTACAAGAAGACAGAATACATGATCATCAGTAAAATGGTGAGCCCAAAATGTGATTTGCAGGCCGGGGAGACTAAAATCAAGCAATTGTGGAAGTTTAAATACCTGGGAAGTGCTCTGACGGAGGACGGTAAGTGCAACGCTGAGATCCGAGAAGTCGTATTGGGATGGCCAAAGACGCATCCTCATAGCCAGCAGGTGCAGAATCATACCTCAAATATGTAAATGGCCGCCTACTTTATGTATATAGGTGTTGAAACTTGACTAATGCATGGAATAATAATGCAACACAAAATGTACTTAGAACAAAGTGTATTGAAACAAGAATGTTTACACAATATTTACATATAGTCTTTTGTATATTTCTGGGAAGACCGTTCCTGGAGAATGTGTTGACTTAGTCGCAGTCGGGCAGAGTCTCTGGTTTAAAGTGGTTATCTCCGCGCCCGTAGGCTCGGCCAAAAATATGGCCTTTTTGAACCCGCCTAGACGGGTTCAAGGCCTGTCTACCACCCCGGACGAAACCCTGCCTCTCGGCAAAGCCTCGTCCGGGTCCCTCACTGCAAAATGCAGAGAGTTCGACTGAGAGTGAATCTCTTGATTCCTCCCCAATCTTCCCGGTACCAACCATATTTATATGGTCGGTACTCCACTATGCAAATTAGGTGGATCCTACCACAACAATAGGCGAGGCGGGGGGATTTCGTTGGTAACAGGGAAAAGAGTACTGAACTACTACGTGATGTATGTCTTCTTTTAAGACCACGAATGTTGGACGGTCTCCTCAAAGATGAAGAAGAGACCCCTGGCGACGATGTGGTTCTGCAGAAGGATGCTTCAACCAGTAAGGTTTCGTTGTTCGAGATCTTCCGCAAAATCAAATCAGTGGGGACTTTTGATCTTCAGTTACTTTCTAAATAACTCTTATCAGTCCTCTTCAAATCTTCGTTTCTTCTTCTAACTCCCGGAAGTGCTGCAAGTCTTCGAAGCTCTTCAAAGTTTTTACAGGGAATGATGGAATTATATTGATAGTTCTTCTTTGGTTCAATGTGTATTCTATTGTTGTTCGAGATCTTCTGCGAAAGTATACTGTATTGGTATTCTCAAAGTAAAACAGCAAATCTTTATGAGAAGCCGTTTGTCTATTTAGTCGCAGCACAGGCCCAAATAGTTTCCAGTATAACTGAATAAATTTAAAAATTGTATCTAACACATTAATTTTACGTCTCTGATAGAATTATTTCAAACATCTTACGTCATTACAAAAATACATTTTTTAATGTTTGACTTTCGCATAAGCAAGAAATATAAAGCAGAAACACTTGAATATAATAAACCTTAGATAATATTAGATTAAAATTCCTCATCTTCATTAACGTTGTAAGACTTATCAGTTTTCTTTTAACCACAATGTCATTTGGTCAATCATGAAAATGCTATAGGTCTTCAAAATTTTAAAATTTTACGGTGCATGATGGGATTTTGTCTATATTTTTTAGATATATATATACGTGTGGCACCTTAGCGTAGTGTAATGGTTAGCAAGCTTGTCTTGCTAGAACAATTACCACTGAGTAGTGAGTTCGATCCTCACTGGGTGCCCCAAGCTTTCGACCTTATACCATATCTAAGCTACGCGTGGAAAATCAATATCAATATATATATATATATATATATATATATGTATGTATGTATGTATCCAAATGTAGTATCCGTTGCTTTCCCAGGTAGTGAGGGGAAGTATGATTGTTTTCAATGTAGCACGGTCGGATTAGTCGCCAGTTTGTCGTGCAATTGTCCTATTTTCGTAGCATCAGAGAATGGAGAACATTAATTTATCGATTCTGATTTCTGGTTGGTTTTCCATCTGTTTATATAAAAATATACAGATCCGCTTTGATTAGGCCGCTCATTTCTTATGAGATCGCAGCATTAATATTTGTTTATTTATTTTCTTACTTCCTGGTTGTGAGATCTTTCTGACTGATTGGTCGAATTATGGCTTTGTTTGCCTGGCGATTTTTACTATAAGACTATTTTTAAAAATAGTTAAATTTTGGTCTTTTTATTTATTTCTCTGTCATCACGGAATCACTCTTGACGTCATATAATATTTTATTTAATTTTTTATTTAAATTCTAGTATTTCTTGGGAGATTTTTTACGGTCTGCTTTGCAAATTCTTACTCCATGTTTACTATTAAAACTTCTTTAAATAAGAGAATGTTCTGCGAAGTTCTTTACATTTTATTTAAGAAATGCTATTTATTAAGGCTTTACAAGTTTTTACTTGAGCAGTATCTTCAATATAAATAATACAGGCAACGGCTTACAGACACATCCCGTACGTTCACCGAATTTAAGCAACTTCGAGCCTGCTCAGTACAAAGATGGGTGACCGCTTGGGAATTCCAGGTGCATCTTGGAGGTGGGGTGGTGTAATGGATAATGGCTCGGAAATGTTAATCGGAGAGCCGAGTTCCAATTCTCGTTGGGTTCGTTATATTCACTTACGCACAAATAGCCTTGGGAAAGTATGAATTTACCTTTTCTCCCCCGGCTATGGGTTAATTAGTAAAAGTGGTATCACTAAATAATTTTTATCTAAAAATAAATAAAATCAAATAAAAAAAAACTGCGTTTAAAATATTTAGATTTCGGCATTAAATAATCCACGACATGCCGCTAAACAAAAGCAAGTCGGTGAGGCAAAAAGTGTAAATAAGTGAGAAAAGATTTAAAATGAAGAGATATAATGTCTAACTACGATATTATAAATTCTATGTATTTACCAATTTGACTAAATTTTCAGTTTGCCTAAAACAAAACAGCGTTTCTTTTCTTGCACAAACAAAGGACAAAAACGATGCCAACTTTTCTTAAAACTCTCTCTAAAAAAATAAAAAGCCAATTCTTAAGGAACAATATCTAAATAACTTTATCTTACTCAGGCTAAGCGTGCAGAGACCTCGTAACCTTATTAAATAAATTTCCTAGCCCTCATCTTAGCGTCACCAAATATTTCAGGGTTGTCATATGATTTTCTTTTAACGATTCGTCTTGTCTTGAGACTGGCTTATGACGTCACCAGTTTCTGATATTCAATCTTACCTGAAGAATAAGTGCGAACTCTATCTAAGAATTTTTCCAGCCTGGCCCCAGGGCTTAGAAAGCATATGTGGTTAACAGTCATCTGTCGTGATAGGAAGATAACTTAATTCCCTGTTTTTCGCCATCTTAATAAAAATAGAAAAAGAGTAAACATTAAGAAGCGTCAAAAATAAACGGACAATTGATAATGATTGAATTTTTTTTCCTCTTTTCTTTTTTATTATTATCTCCGTTATATAAACATCATTATTCTGTCTTGAATATAACTAAAAACGAAAATAAATGAATTGGCGTAGAGTAACAACAACAACAACAACAACAACAACAACAACAATAATAATAATAATAATAAATATTGGGAAAATAAATCTAAAAAATAAGAAGCTATTTCGTCATAATAATCGTTGGGGCACAGAGAGATATGATTTTACAAGAACGTCGAAAAGAAAGATGTGCTGAAGATTAATAAATTTCAATATCAATAACAAGAAAACATAATCATTATTATTATTATTATTTTTATTTTCTTTGATTTCTGGCGTTTACACATTTCTTTCCGGGTCCCGCCCAGGGACCTAAGGTTAGAAATGGCATCATGACACTTTCCACTGACAAAAAAAAAAAAAAAAATTACATAGATAAAGCCCTTCGTAAAGTGTGGTCTGTACTTGTCAGAACAATTTTTTGTATCTTCTTGAGGCATGGACTTCCAGGAATCCCTTCAATTAGTCTACTGCAATCTTATCCAACCAGTCCTAGGGCTCCAACTACAACAGGGATTGTTGATGTTCCCATATACCATATTTTTGAGATTTCTTTTTCAAGGTTCTTGTATTTTGACAACTTTTTGAATATCTTCAAAGATACATTGCAGTCAACAGGGACTGTCATATCAATAAGGAGGCACCGTTTTTGTTTGTGGTCTTTAATAACAATATCTGGGCGGTTGGCCTTGATTGTTCTGTCAGTGTTTATTGTGTAGTTCCATAGAATTGTAACAGGTCCTATCTCCGTAACCGGGTCTGGGTGGTGTTCATACCAGTTTCTTTCAGTTTCCTTCTCGTAGAAGTTGCAGATTTTCCAGTGCAGATATTGACCCACTCTGGCATGCCGGGTTTTATATTCAGTGGGTGCCAATACTGTGCAACCTGATACAAGATAGTCAATTGTTTGTAGACATTTACCACAGAATCTGCATTTCGGGTTAACACAATTTTTCATTATGTGTTTGGTAATTTCTAGTTAGCAAGCATTGGTTCTGTACCGCAAGAATAAAACTTTCCGCTTCAGTTTTTAACTCTGCGCTGAGTAACCACTGATGGGTACGGGTGTTTTTTATATCAGCTTGTTTGGTACGGGCAGAGTATTGACCATGAAGAGGTCTATTTTACCATTTCTAAATTTGGCCCATTGCAGTAGTTGTATTAGGGATTACTTACACTTTTTCATCCACTTGAAATTCCATTTTAATTTGTTGACTTCCTTCATTACTGAGCAAAGTAATAATAGTAGTAGTAGTATTAATATTCTACTTAACCCTCACTTAGTTACTTAGAGAGTACGTACGTTATATCCTGCTAATACCTCACAAATAATGGACTATTCCGTTTTGATCGCGTGGAAAGAGGGGAAAAGGCACTACTTGGTTTCAGTGAGAAAATGAAAGAAAGAAAGAAAGAAAGAAAGAAAGAAAGAAAAATCCTTCCAATACCTCATTAATAATGAACCGTTCCGTTTTGATCACACGGGAAGATGAAAAGGACATATCAGACACGCTGTTTGATTTCAGTGAAAGAAAGAAAGAAAGAAAGAAAGAAATAAAGAAAGAAAGAAAGAAAGAAAGAAAGGGACTGTCAATACCTTAATAATAATAGAATCTTTCATTTCCATCAAGTGGAAAGATGAAAAAGTCATATCAATGAGGCTGTATGATTTAAAAGAAAGAAATATCCTGTCAATTAAAACATTTCCGTTTTGATCGCTCGTAAAGGACATTATGACTTACTAAACCCAGCTTAGATGTGGCACAAGGCCGAAAGTATGCGGCACCCAGTGAGGATCGAACTCACTACTCAGTCGTAACTCATCTAGCGAGACAATCCTGTTGACCATTACACCACATCGAAGCGCCCAAAATGATTTTTTTAAGCAGAGCCTAGATGTGGCACAAGGCCAAAAGTAGGGAGAACCCAGCGAGGATCGAACTCACTACTCAGTCATCTAACAAGACAAAATTGCTGACCATTACATCACGTCGAAATGTCCAAGACAAAAAAGGGCATATCAAACACAGGGCTTGGTTTCAAAGAAAGAAAGAAAGAAAGAAAGAAAGAAAGAAAGAAAGAAAGAAAGAAAGAAAAGAAAAGAAAAAGAGATAAAGAAAGTAGTAAAAACAAAAGACAATAAATAAGAAAAGCGAGCAAAAAAAGAAAGAAAGAAACGAACAAGGGATGAAGAAAGATCAAAAAGAAAGTAGTAAAAACAGAAGATAATAAATAAGAGTGAGTGAAGAAAGAAAGAAAGAAAGAAAGAAAGAATGAAAGAAAAAGGGGATAAAAAAGAGAGATAAGAAAGAAAGTTGTAAAAACAGAAGACAATAAATAAGAACGAGCAAAGAAAGAAAAAAAGAAAGAAAGAAAGAAAGAAAGGAAAGAAAGAAAGAAAGAAAGAAAGAAAAAGGGGATAAAAAAAGAGAGATAAGAAAGAAAGTTGTAAAAAACAGAAGACAATAAATAAGAAACGAGCAAAGAAAAGAAAGAAAAGAAAGAAAGAAAGAAAGAAAGAATGAAAAGAAAAAGGGGAAAAAAGAGAGATAAGAAAGAAAGTTGTAAAAACAGAAGACAATAAATAAGAACGAGCAAAGAAAAAGAAAGAAAGAAAGAAAGAAAGAAAGAAAGAAAGAAAGAAAGAATGAAAGAAAAAGGGATAAAAAGAGAGATAAGAAAGAAAGTTGTAAAAACAGAAGACAAAAATAAGAACGAGCAAAGAAAGAAAAAAAAAAAAGAAAGAAAGAAAGAAAGGAAAGAAAGAAAGAAAAGAAAGAATGAAAGAAAAAGGGATAAAAAAGAGAGATAAGAAAGAAAGTTGTAAAAACAGAAGACAATAAATAAGAACGAGCAAAGAAAGAAAAAAAGAAAGAAAGAAAGAAAGAAAGGAAAGAAAGAAAGAAAGAAAGAATGAAAGAAAAAGGGGATAAAAAAGAGAGATAAGAAAGAAAGTTGTAAAAACAGAAGACAATAAATAAGAACGAGCAAAGAAAGAAAAAAAGAAAGAAAGAAAGAAAGAAAGAAAGGAAAGAAAGAAAGAAAGAAAGAAAAAGGGGATAAAAAAGAGAGATAAGAAAGAAAGTTGTAAAAACAGAAGACAATAAATAAGAACGAGCAAAGAAAGAAAAAAAGAAAGAAAGAAAGAAAGGAAAAAAAGAAACAAAGAAAAGAAAGAAAAAAGAAAGAAAAAAAGGGATAAAAAAGAGAGATAAGAAAGAAAGCAAAAACAGAAGACAAAAATAAAACGAAAAAAGAAAAAAAAGAAAGAAAGGAAAAAAAGAAACAAAGAAACAAAGAAACAAAGAAAGAAAGAAACAAAGAAAGAAAGAAACAAACAAAAAGGGGATAAAAAAGAGAGATAAGAAAGAAACTTGTAAAACAGAAGACAATAAATAAGAACGAGCAAAGAAAGAAAAAAAGAAAGAAAGAAAGGAAAGAAAGAAAGAAAGAAAGAAAGAAAGAAAAAGGGGATAAAAAAAGAGAGATAAGAAAGAAAGTTGTAAAAACAGAAGACAATAAATAAGAACGAGCAAAGAAAGAAAGAAAGAAAGAAAGAAAGGAAAGAAAGAAAGAAAGAAAGAAAGAAAAAGGGGATAAAAAAAGAGAGATAAGAAAGAAAGTTGTAAAAACAGAAGACAATAAATAAGAACGAGCAAAGAAAGAAAGAAAAGAAAGAAAGAAAGAAAGGAAAGAAAAGAAAAATGAAAGAAAAAAAGGGGGATAAAAAGAGAGATAAGAAAGAAAGTTGTAAAACAGAAGACAATAAATAAGAACGAGCAAAGAAAGAAAAAAAAAAAGAAAGAAAGAAAGAAAGAAAGGAAAGAAAGAAAGAAAGAAAGAATGAAAGAAAAAGGGATAAAAAGAGAGAAAGAAAGAAAGTTGTAAAAACAGAAGACAATAAATAAGAACGAGCAAAGAAAGAAAAAAAAGAAAGAAAGAAAGAAAGAAAAGGAAAGAAAGAAAGAAAGAAAGAAAGAAAGAAAGAAAAAGGGGATAAAAAGAGAGATAAGAAAGAAAGTTGTAAAAACAGAAGACAATAAATAAGAACGAGCAAAGAAAGAAAAAAAGAAAGAAAGAAAGAAAGAAAGAAAGAAAGAAAGAAAGAAAGAAAGAATGAAAGAAAAAGGGGATAAAAAAGAGAGAAAAGAAAGAAAGTTGTAAAAACAGAAGACAATAAATAAGAACGAGCAAAGAAAGAAAAAAAGAAAGAAAGAAAGAAAGAAAGAAAGGAAAGAAAGAAAGAAAGAATGAAAGAAAAAGGATAAAAAAAGAGATAAGAAAAAGAAAGTTGTAAAAACAGAAGACAATAAATAAGAACGAGCAAAAAGAAAGAAAAAAAAGAAAAAGAAAGAAAGAAAGAAAGGAAAGAAAGAAAGAAAGAAAGAATGAAAGAAAAAGGGGATAAAAGAGAAAGATAAGAAAGAAAGTTGTAAAAACAGAAGACAATAAATAAGAACGAGCAAAGAAAGAAAAAAAGAAAGAAAGAAAGAAAGAAAGAAAGAAAGAAAGAAAGAAAGAAAAAGGGGGATAAAAAAGAGAGATAAGAAAAAAAAGTTGTAAAACAGAAGACAATAAATAAGAACGAGCAAAGAAAGAAAGAAAGAAAGAAAGAAAGAAAGAAAGAAAGAAAGAAAGAAAGAAAAAGGGGATAAAAAGAGATAAGAAAGAAAGTTGTAAAAACAGAAGACAATAAATAAGAACGAGCAAAGAAAGAAAAGAAAGAAAGAAAGAAAGAAAGAAAGAAAGAATGAAAGAAAAAGGGGATAAAAAAGAGAGATAAGAAAGAAAGTTGTAAAAACAGAAGACAATAAATAAGAACGAGCAAAGAAAAAAAGAAAGAAAGAAAGAAAGAAAGAAAGAAAGGAAAGAAAGAAAGAAAGAAAGAAAGAATGAAAGAAAAAGGGAATAAAAAAGAGAGATAAGAAAGAAAGTTGTAAAAACAGAAGATAATAAATAAGAACGAGCAAAGAAAGAAAAAAAGAAAGAAAGAAAGAAAGAAAGGAAAGAAAGAAAGAAAGAAAGAAAGAAAAAGGGGATAAAAAAAGAGAGATAAGAAAGAAAGTTGTAAAAACAGAAGACAATAAATAAGAACGAGCAAAGAAAGAAAGAAAGAAAGAAAGAAAGAAAGAAAGAATGAAAGAAAGAAAGAATGAAAGAAAAAAGGATAAAAAAGAGAGATAAGAAAGAAAGTTGTAAAAAACAGAAGACAATAAATAAGAACGAGCAAAGAAAGAAAAAAAAAAGAAAGAAAGAAAGAAAGAAAGAAAGGAAAGAAAGAAAGAAAGAAAGAATGAAAGAAAAAAAAAAGGGATAAAAAAGAGAGATAAGAAAGAAAAAAAGTAAAAACAGAAGATAATAAATAAGAACGAGCAAAGAAAGAAAAAAAAGAAAAGAAAAGAAAGAAAGAAAAAGAAAGAAAGAAAGAAAGGAAAGAAAGAAAAGAAAGAATGAAAGAAAAAGGGATAAAAAAGAGAGATAAAAAGAAAGTTGTAAAAACAGAAGACAATAAATAAGAACGAGCAAAAGAAAGAAAAAAAAAAAAGAAAGAAAGAAAGAAAGGAAAGAAAGAAAGAAAGAAAGAAAAAAAAGGGGATAAAAAAGAGATAAG